GAAGGAGAGGGTGGCTCTGTTGTGTCTGTGACCGCTGATTTGTCCAGTCAAAACAAATGAAGACAGTAATGTATTATAGATCAGCTGTAAATACAGAATCAGCATAATGACATATTTATAAACAAATAAGCATTTTATTTAAAAATTTAATCGTCATTTAACAACTTTAAATGAATGAATTCATAACAATGAATTAACTGACTGATGTTAGTTATGATAAAGTGTTTTGCTGCATGCATTATAATAACTTTACTAACAGTTGTTCCAGCTTCTTAGCTTGAGAACTATTGCATTAGATAAATGATGCTAAATCTTGTCTCAGTTTTTTTTTACAGTATATTTATTGTTTTATCATTTAGAACCTATCAGAAGTGGGTTTGTGCTGTCTTCATTTAAAATAAATGCCATTTGTTTGATATTTTGTTACCTAACCTGGTGACATTTATGCATAGGTGTCCAAATACTTTTTGGGTCCACTGTATAAGCATCAATCACATTCCTAAATAACAGTTTGGAATGTCCACAGCAACAGCCTTTGATGTTGTTTTGACTCTCAGGATACAAGACACCTTTTCAGAAACCCCATGAGCTTTCAGCTGGATCTGGCATCACAGCTTATTACCTCATCCCAGCTTTGACACTGACACCTGCAACACAGGTGCTTTTCTAAGGGTCAAGCAAGGGTCTCCCCACCTCTGCGGTTGACACTTCTGTCCTCGGAGGTTAACTAGTATTTATCTGCCTCAGAAATGCAGATCTTCAGCTTGGCTTAAGGACCATGTGACTCTGAGAATGTAAGACATGACCCATCAATCTGTAGTGTGTCTGCATGCTCTTCAACGCTCCTTGCACATCTTCTGTGTTGTACAGCATCTGAAATAATCTCTGCTAACTGTGTCATGATTCATGAAGCTCGTTGCTGTAAAACAACTAAAATCTAGAGGGACTTTGTCATTTTTCCACCATATCTTTTCCCTTTCCCATTAGTGTCGGCTCTCTCGACAGATGAGAAGAGAACTTTAACGAAGGATTACTTTGATAGAGCACTCTTTAGGTCTAATCTGCAGTTTAGAGTATAAATCCCACTAGGAAAGAACAGCATGTCTGTGTATGCTGAGAGGGCAAGATTAAACGTCCATCAGGAATTGATTCTGCTGATGGCATATCCACTTAGAGTTATCTGGGTGTTAGATGCTGCCTATATGTTAAACGAGGCTTTAATGGCCGAAGTGATTTTATTGAATGTATGTGCAGTTAAATGCAGTGCAATTCTAGTGCAAAGTGAATTACAAATCCCATGTTGTAATCAAGACTTCATTAATCATTGAATGATTTTGCAATTTGCAATGAATGCAAACCACTGAAGTCCACTGAGTTGTTAAATACAAAAATGCAACACTCTCAGGAAATTTTGTATGGTAAGTGCAATTTAAAATTTTATTTAATTTTTTATGCTCAGAAAATATAACCCTCTGAAGATCTGGCCTAAAACAAAAATGATTTTATCCTAATATTTTTGTATTACATATCAACTTGTTTGTTCTTTTTTAATTTATAAATAAATAAATATGCATGCAAAAGTACAGACGTAATATAGTAAATATAGGAATGAAAATTACCAAAATAAGATCAAATAAATTTGAGATAAAATAAAGCAAAATAATAAGACAATAAACTATTACATCTCAACAAAATATATTGCATCCTTTAACAAAATAAATTAAAAGACAGCACAGGTTTCGCTTCAAATAACTGGTTCCAAATAAATAAATAAAAAGAAAGAAGGAAAAAGTGCGTGGTTCCTGACATCCTGCATAGTTATTGCTGTTTATTACGGGTGTTCAGGTTTAGTTTTATAAATATTTATAACATGTTTAGAATATTTAATAAAATGTATTGTAATGTGTCCCAATTAGGCGTGTTGCAGGCATGATTCAGCTCATAAAAAGTACCAATTGAACATGTTCAATTCAAAAACATGTTCTGTTCAATGAGTCTCGAGTCGAGAACGCATTTTTCAGATCGGTATTGTGCATCGGTTCAATCGAATCATCAAAAAGATTCGAGTCGACGCAAAATAACGATTTGTTTACTTCTCTCAGAATCTAGTTCGATTTTTCAATGAAATCTCTCAGGTATTACGAACATTTTATGCGTTATATCGTTTCAACATAAGAGTGGCTTATGTAAATCCAGAGATATTTAAAAATAAAAAAATATTTATTGACTCCCAGGAAACGTGCAAAAACAGGTTTGGGGAGTGTTTAGCTCAACCTGTCCTGTTCCCTTTCCAAGCGTTAAACTGAGCGGGCATCATGTGACTTCAGTTCACACGGTTGACGGTCTCTCCATGAGACCCTCCATCCAGAGTAGCCTCCAGCCTCCTCAGAACGCTGCTGTACGGGATGAGAGACTGCTGATCCCCGCATTGATCTCTAATGCACTTTAATACAGCCGTCATCATGTGAGATACTGTACGTGAGGGTGAATATTCAGCAGAAGGAAGTGTGTTCATAACACTGGTCTGAAAGAGAAAGTAACTCGAAACTGTAAGTTGATTCCTCTTTGTTTTTCTATTTAACGCGCTCATAAACGTTGAAGAATGAGCAGCAAGTTATCTGCACAGAAAATTGTCGTTTAAATTCTCTATCAGTAGGCATTGTTCCTATATTTACATATATATATATATATATATATATATTATGTTGTGAAATATATTTCACAGCAGGACACTGTTGTATCACTATAACATGCAATGTCAAATCAATACCTCTCTGAAAAGGTGTTTTAAAGTTGTTACATAGTTTATAGGTACAACATTGTTTTTATGCACTGTCATACAGTACAACTTGTCTGTGGATGGTTGAAGTTGAAACCAAATTTCATGTTACAAACTCTCTTTTGTATGTTTGTAGCATGGCTGATTACCTTATCAGCGGTGGAACTGGGTACGTTCCAGAGGATGGACTCACTGCCCAGCAGCTCTTTGCCATCGGTGATGGTCTCACATACAAGTAAGTCAGGGATCATGTGCACAAAATCCTTTTCTAGATGCCCTGCCTTGTAATCAGTCACAAAGACTGACATGGACAGCACAATGTCAGCACAGGTCCTATCATGTGTAGCTTCACCCTGGGACACACATGCGGCATCTTTCTGGACATCTGTCAGTGAGATGGCTCTCAGCTCCATGGCAACCCTCGTGCATCTCCATAGCAACGGGGAGCTCAAGTGCTCAGTCCCACCACATGCAACCCGTGTTTATGGGACAATGCAAAACCAGAGTGCATGTGTGGTCCCTTTTGTCCCTGCTTGCTCAACATGTGCTTTAGTATCAATTAGAAATGCAGAATGTTTATGAACATAGTATGTTTTACACCAGTGCATTAAATGAGCTTGTGTTTGTGTGTGAATATGAATGTGTTTATGCTTTCCCAGCCTTATGAAAACTTGTTATCAGAGCAGTGGTCCCTGCGTCTATTTTTGTCATGCTGGCTGGAGTGTTTAATCTGGTCTAATGTAGGTTTTATGAGCGTTAGGCCACATGGGGCCGGGACACTGAACAGTGCCTTCTCACACATCCTCCTGAGACAGACAAATCCGGTCCCATTTTTACATTATCATGCTTTAAAGTGAGGGATATCATTTAACACTTTCTATTTGTAGCCCTGAAACAATAACAGTGCTTTTAAGTCAAGTTAGATTCTAACAACACTGATAACATGCTTTCGTATATCAAGTTTTGGGTACCACTTTAAGTTCAGGGTCAGATTTATTTAATACTTTTACAAGGAGGCATTAAATTGTCAAGTGACTAAACTTAAATCTCATATTTTTTCATTTGCACACACTTTTGTAGTATAGTACCGCTGCATTAGAGGCTATGTGTATTTGCGTGTGACATTGGTGACACGGTTAAGAACATTAACAGGACGTCTCAGTATGCCACATCTTAAGTAGATAATATAAATCCTCTTGACAAGACCAGAGACATAATGTACGCGTGCAAGTTTATCATTTGTGGCTTCTTAAAGTATTAATGCTACAGGCAAAACACGCATATTCATTTGCTCATGCACTGCATTAAAATAATCAGTCGACTTGCTAATATTTTTTTTTATGTTTTTGAAAGAAATCTCTTATGCTTACCAAGGCTGCATTTATTTGATCAATATACAAAAAACAGAAATGTTGTGAAATATTATTACAATTTAAAGGGGTCATATGATGCGATTTCAAGTTTTCCTCGCGCGTGTATGTGTGCACGCGTGATCGTGTGTGTGTGCGAGAGAGAGAGAGATAGAGAGAGAGACAGCGTCACATCACAGTTGAGTCAGCTGTCTTAACCGCGGCTTGTGTACTGCATCATTACTGTGTCTGTTCCCCTTTCTGGCTTGAACTGATGGTAAAACTAATGACATTATTTACTGTCTTTACATTTATTTTGAAAGATGAAGCTCGTGATTATGGTAAGGGGCGTTACATTTCCGACGAGTGCTTGCGGTGTTCGGCCAATCACAATGCACTGGGTCAGCTGGCCAATCAGAGCAGACTGCGCTTGTCGGAAGGAGGGACTTTGTAGAAAACGAAGCGTTTGAGAGAGGCGGGGCATAGAGGACCTACAATAATGTACAGTATTTGAAAAATAATGTGTTTTTTGAACATTAAAGCATGTCAACATATTCTGTTACACCAAATACACAAAATAATGATCTTTAAAAAAGCATCATATGACCCCTTTAAAATAACTGCTTTCTGTTTTCATATATTTTAAAATGTAATTTATTCCTGTGATGCTAAGCTGAATTTTCAGCATCATTACTCCAGTCTTCAGTGTCACATGAACCTTCAGAAACCATTCTAATATGCTGATTTGCTGCTCAATTTTATATCAGTTATTACTGGTGCTTAATTATTAAAATTGTTCTCATTATCAGTGTTTAATCCTGCTGTTTAATGTTTTTGTGAAAAACTTATTTAATAAAGTTTAATAAACATAATTTATTACATTTTCTATAATTTGCTGCTCAAGAAACATTTCTTATTATTATCAGTGTTGACAGTGTGGAAACCATGATGCATTTTTTTCTTTGATAAATAGAAGGTTCAAAATAACAGCATTAATTCGAAATAGAAATCTTTTGTGACATTAAAAATGTCATTACTAATAATGTAATAATGTAATGCATCCTTACTAAATAAATGGTAGTGTTTAGTAGTCGCATACATTGCTGTCATGTTTGCATAAACTAGCCATAATAATACCCGAAATTCTAAATTAATCTTAGTTTGTTGTATGCTTGTTTTAGAGTGGTTTTCCTTTTTTGACACTGATTTGAGTGTGTGTTTAAGCATTTTGTAATTTTGATAATGTTCTGATTCATAAATTGCTGATCTAAAGGTCATTGTTGCCTAACTCTGCCATCTGTCCTTCCTCATTCAGTGATTTCCTCATACTGCCTGGCTTCATTGACTTCACATCCGATGAAGTGGTGAGTACCACCAACATTTATCAGAGGTTATCAACAAATGGGTGGAACAGACCTCAAAAGCTCTTGTATTAGTAAACAGTTTCAGTGCAGAGGATCATTTTTGATCACATGAATCAACTCAGATGCCAAGTTGATGGAACAGGAGCTCTTTAACTATCAGTGAGGTGGAAGGTCTGCAAAGGACCAAAGGAGGTGTTTGTGTGGATGAGAGGTTAATTTGGCTGTGTTAACATCCACACAGTCCCTGGTGTTCTGGGCATGTTGTCACAAGCAGTGAAGCTCAGGTGTGTGTGTGTGTGTGTGTGTGTGAGAGAGAGACAGAGACAGAGACAGAGAGAGAGACCAGGATGACACAAATATCAGTCCACCTGGAACCACAACTTTAAACACATTTTTAATTAAAGATGGAACAAATTCTCTTTCCTGGGATAGATAAGCCAATGATTTATTTAAACAGGGAATCAGTTCAACTTAATAGGTACTATTTCAACTTATTTTGTTGAAAATCTCATATATGTTTTGGTTCATGGTAGTCTGTGAGTCTGTTTAAAATGTTTATTTTCCAGTAGGGCAGGCAGTTTAGTTTCCTGCTGATGTAAACGCAGGTACACAACACTGTTTGTGTTTTCTTTGAGCACTTCTGAGATTACGCTGAGCTGCGGTTAATGATGGGACACAGGTGTTAGAGAGAAAGAAGAAAAATAGTGTCTACAGTTTGATTAAGTCAACTTGTGTGACTGAGTCAGTGTTATTTTAGTAATATTTGTATATAATTATAGTATTTATTATAGTGCTGTCAAACGATTAATTGCATCCAAAATAAAAGTTTGTTTTACATAATATATGTGTGAACTCAAAAAAAAAAAAAAAAAATATATATACATACATGTAAATATTTGAAACAATATACATGCATGTGTGTATTTTTATATACATAATAAATATACATAGTACACACACATATATTATGTAAACAAAAACATAAAAAATTTTCATTTATGTTTCATTTATGTTTCAGCTTTCCATTGATGTATGGTTTGTTACGATAGGACAATATTTGGCCGAGATACAACTATTTGAAAATCTGGAATCTGAGGGTGCAAAAAAATCTAAATATTGAGAAAATTGCCTTTAAAGTTGTCCAAATGAAGACCTTAGCAATGCATAATACTAATCAAAAATTAAGTTTTGATATATTTACGGTAGGAAATTTACAAAATATCTTCATGGAACATGATCTTTACTTAATATCCTAGTGATTTTTGGCATAAAAGTAAAATCGATATCGAAATCGATTGCTACAAATATACCTGTGCGACTTAAGACTGGTTTTGTGGTCCAGGGTCACAATTATATTTTATTTTACTTCAGCTTTATTTCAATTAACAATTTGTCATAGTGTTAGTTTGACTTAACAATAGCAACACTGTTCTGTGTACCCGTAAATGTTTTTTGCAAAGAAATCCTTCACTAAAAAACTACCTTTTTTATTATTATTTTCCTAACCCTTATGCTGTTCTTAACCTGTATGATTTTATGACAAAAGGTCATTTTTACTTGCACCTAAGTAGCAGACTTAAGTTGAGCTCCTAAAATGACCAAATGTTATAAATTAGCTTTGCTTAGTTGAACATGTCTGATTACATAGACAATGATTTTTTTTGTAACGGTCATGTGTTGTCATAGGATTTGACATCTGCCCTGACCCGCAAGATAACCCTGAAGACGCCACTCATTTCCTCTCCCATGGACACAGTCACAGAGTCCTCCATGGCCATCGCTATGGCTGTAAGTAACAATCACAGAAACGTTATATATCAGCACTTGTACTGAATCGTAATTGCTTTTCCATTTCATTCACTGGTTTTTCCCATAGCTCATGGGTGGAATAGGAATTATTCATCACAACTGCACACCTGAGTTCCAGGCCAATGAGGTCCGGAAAGTCAAGGTCAGTCACATGAGTGTTAAGAGATGACAATTTTGAGGAATTAAAAAAAAACTAAAAGTGAAACTTGTATTTTGTAAGTCTGGTAAACTGTAGATTCCAGATATAAGTTCCAGATACAGTAAAATGATAACTACCAATAATTAACATGTTTTTGTATCTGTCATATTGGCAGAAATTTGAGCAGGGCTTCATCACGGACCCTGTAGTGATGAGTCCACGGCACACGGTTGGCGATGTGTTTGAAGCAAAGGTGCGGCACGGTTTCTCCGGCATCCCAGTTACAGAAACCGGCAAGATGGGCAGCAAGCTGGTGGGCATCGTTACATCACGAGACATTGACTTCCTGTCAGAGAAAGATTACGACAGGCCACTGGAGGAGGTTTGTGATTTGAATTTTCTGAATTCTAATTTAATTCTTTAATAATTTGAAGTTTGATTCCAATTTAAGTAATGTTTCATAATCTAATTATTCATTTAACCTCCAGAAAGTGTCAATTTGAGTGAAAATTGATAACTAATAATAGTTTCTTGAGTACCAAATTGGCTTATTAAAATGATTTCTGAAGAATCATGTGACACTGAAGACTGTAGTAATGACTACTGAAAATTCAGCTTTTCCATCACAGGAATAAATTACATTTTAAAATAGGTTAAAATAGTTAAATAGTATTAAAATAGTTTTTAAAATTGTAATAATATTTCATAATGTTACTGTTTTTAGTGTAGTTTTGATAAAATAAATGCAGCCTTTGTGAGCATATGGGGCTTCTTTCAAAAACATTTTAAACCCAAACATTTGAACAATGTATATAAAAAAATATCAAAACAATTTATTTTAAATATTTTTTTTATTAAAATAAAACATTGATCACTGATGAATCATTCACAATAAAACCAGTTGCTTTTATTAAGAAAATAAACAATTCGAAATTTTTGTTGTCCTTAAACACTCATAATAGTAATTAATGCTACTAATATGCATGAATGATAGTTTCTGAAATTTCTTAAATCTTCCAGGCAATGACAAAACGAGAAGATTTAGTGGTTGCTCCAGCAGGTGTAACGTTAAAAGAGGCAAATGACATCTTACAGCGCAGTAAAAAAGGTATGAGCCTCAACTTCAGTCCTGTTTATGTTGTGATGTTTAGCACAAGCTTGCTGATCACATTCCTGTTATTCTCTCTCAGGTAAACTGCCTATAGTGAATGACAGCGATGAGCTTGTAGCTATAATAGCTCGTACCGATCTGAAGAAGAACAGAGACTATCCTCTAGCCTCCAAAGACTCTCGCAAACAGCTGCTGTGTGGCGCTGCCATTGGCACCCGAGAGGACGACAAGTATCGGCTAGACCTGCTCATGCAGGCAGGAGTGGACATGATAGTTCTGGTGAGTCCTAAGGGGAATAGAATGACATTAAACTTTAGCAGAACACAGTCCTGTTTCTGGAGATCTAGCTTTTTGCATCGCTTTTGCTGCATTCCATTGAAACTTACATTCGGACAAAAACAACAGAACTCAGAATTTCTCTTGCAAAATTCCACAATTTGTTCTGCCAAGCTGCAAACATGTCAACACCAACGATAGATGTGCACATTTAATGAGAAACACTTACTCACTCTCAGGCCATCCAAGATGAGTTTGTTTCTTCATCAGAACAGAAATTTAGCATTACATGCTCACCATTGGATCCTCTGCAGTGAATGGGGGCCGTCAGAATGAGAGTCCAAACAGCTGATAAAAACATCACAATAATCCACAAGTAATCCCCTCGACACCAGTTTGGGGGACTTTTTCACTGGAGAAAGCAATACTATTAGTAGGCAACTAGCAGTACTTTGAGTGCCGGAAGCAATGGTTTGAAGTTAAAAACATCTTAATGATGAATTTGGTTCTTACATGCAGCTTTTCACTTCACAAGACGTTAAATGATGGACTAGAGTCGTGTGGATTACTTGTGGATTATTGTGATGCTTTTATCAGCTGTTTGGACTCTCATTCTGACTAAAATAGTTAAATAGTATTAAAATAGTTTTTAAAATTGTAATAATATTTCATAATGTTACTGTTTTTAGTGTAGTTTTGATAAAATAAATGCAGCCTTTGTGAGCATATGGGGCTTCTTTCAAAAACATTTTAAACCCAAACATTTGAACAATGTATATAAAAAAATATCAAAACAATTTATTTTAAATATTTTTTTTATTAAAATAAAACATTGATCACTGATGAATCATTCACAATAAAACCAGTTGCTTTTATTAAGAAAATAAACAATTCGAAATTTTTGTTGTCCTTAAACACTCATAATAGTAATTAATGCTACTAATATGCATGAATGATAGTTTCTGAAATTTCTTAAATCTTCCAGGCAATGACAAAACGAGAAGATTTAGTGGTTGCTCCAGCAGGTGTAACGTTAAAAGAGGCAAATGACATCTTACAGCGCAGTAAAAAAGGTATGAGCCTCAACTTCAGTCCTGTTTATGTTGTGATGTTTAGCACAAGCTTGCTGATCACATTCCTGTTATTCTCTCTCAGGTAAACTGCCTATAGTGAATGACAGCGATGAGCTTGTAGCTATAATAGCTCGTACCGATCTGAAGAAGAACAGAGACTATCCTCTAGCCTCCAAAGACTCTCGCAAACAGCTGCTGTGTGGCGCTGCCATTGGCACCCGAGAGGACGACAAGTATCGGCTAGACCTGCTCATGCAGGCAGGAGTGGACATGATAGTTCTGGTGAGTCCTAAGGGGAATAGAATGACATTAAACTTTAGCAGAACACAGTCCTGTTTCTGGAGATCTAGCTTTTTGCATCGCTTTTGCTGCATTCCATTGAAACTTACATTCGGACAAAAACAACAGAACTCAGAATTTCTCTTGCAAAATTCCACAATTTGTTCTGCCAAGCTGCAAACATGTCAACACCAACGATAGATGTGCACATTTAATGAGAAACACTTACTCACTCTCAGGCCATCCAAGATGAGTTTGTTTCTTCATCAGAACAGAAATTTAGCATTACATGCTCACCATTGGATCCTCTGCAGTGAATGGGGGCCGTCAGAATGAGAGTCCAAACAGCTGATAATAACATCACAATAATCCACAAGTAATCCCCTCGACACCAGTTTGGGGGACTTTTTCACTGGAGAAAGCAATACTATTAGTAGGCAACTAGCAGTACTTTGAGTGCCGGAAGCAATGGTTTGAAGTTAAAAACATCTTAATGATGAATTTGGTTCTTACATGCAGCTTTTCACTTCACAAGACGTTAAATGATGGACTAGAGTCGTGTGGATTACTTGTGGATTATTGTGATGCTTTTATCAGCTGTTTGGACTCTCATTCTGACGGCACCCATTCACTGCAGAGGATCCATTGGTGAGCAAGTGATGTAATGCACGGCAAAAAATGCCTTTCTTGCTTAGATGTTTTTGTCTTGTTTCCAGCCAAAATATCTAAAAATTCTTAAATTAAGAAGTAAAAATTATTGTCTTGTTTTCAGAAAATTAAGTGAAGTCAAAATTAAGTGAGTTTTTGCTTAGAACAAGCAAAATAATCTTATTTTAACCCTATTGGCAGATTATTTTGCTTGTTCTAAGCAAAAACTCACTTAATTTTGACTTGGTTTTTTTCTGAAAACAAGACAATAATTTTTACTTGTCTAGAAAATCCTTCTTGATTTAAGAATTTTTAGATATTTTGGCTGGAAACAAGACAAATAATCTAAGTAAGAAAAGCAGTTTTTGCAGTGTGCTCAATTTCTCCAAATCTGTTCTGTAAAAGAAACAACTCATCTACATCTTGGATGGCCGGAGGGTGAGTGCATTTTGAGCGAATTTTCATTTTTGGGTGAGCCATTCCCTTAAGCAAAAAAATGCATCAGCGAGTCAAATTTCCAACATGACAAAAGAAAACCTTTAGCAACAAACCTGTTTAGCAAACAGAGACAAATCCCTCAAAAACCCTCTCTATAATCATACACCTGCAGAAAACATGCAATGGAGAAAACATGCAATGGAGACTTTGTTTACAGTCAAACACCTGTAAAGCTAAAAATAGCATTTCCATTTTATTTCTTTGTTCCATGGGTCGGGTAGTGGAATACAGCATTAGCATGTTTTCACGCTTTTCAGTGGTAAACTGTATTGGCCCAAACAAAGGTAGTTTGAATTAAACAAACATGAAAATAAAAGTGTACCTGGGATGCCAGGGTATATACAGGAATCATGGAGTTAAATTTAATACCTTTTAAGACCTTTTTTAAGACTCTTTCCATACATTTGAAGACCTCATCGCCACTCCAAGTTTTAACCGGTTACATTGACAACACTTTAATTTACATTTACTATATATTGATTGTCAGATAGCACAACTAAACAGACTTACTTTGTGATAACTCCTTATCAATACAACATAATTCAGAAGGGAGGAACAAAGCACAAGAGAATTAATTGAGTGACTAACCCAAAAAACAAGAATTAGACCAATAAACAAAACAACTGACAAAGCTTATTGAGGAGGGAAAATAAAGCTCTCCGAGCTAACGGGAAAATGAGTTCACACAGTATAAGTAAAAGATGTATTTGTCACATCAGCTCTTATAACTGTCTGCAAATAGCTGTTTGCTATTGGCCCTAATACCATAGCTGTTTTGTGGAACACTTCTCATGACAAACACCTGACTGGTCAGACAGTTTACCTGTGATTACAGAGTGCTTGATTTGATGCAGACTTGACACAGTGTCAGTAAAAAAGTGACGTGACATGTGCCCAAGTATGGTAACCCATACTCGGAATTAGTGCTCTGCATTTATCCCATCCAAAGTGCACACACACAGCAGTGAACACACACACACCATGAACACACACCCGGAGCAGTGGGCAGCCATTTTTTTTCTGCTGCGGTGCCCGGGCAGCAGTTGGGGGTTCGGTGCCTTGCTCAAGGGCACCTCAGTCGTGGTATTGAAGGTGGGAGAGAGCGCTGTACATTCACTCCACCCACCTACAATCCCTGCAGGTACGAGACTCAAACCCGCAACCTTTGGGTTACGAGTCCGACTCTCTAACCATTAGGCCACGACTTCCCCCTACTGCACCTGATGCTGGGATCTTCACTAACCCCCAAAGATCTCAATGGTTCTTCCCACATTCTGTTAAATGACATAAATTTACCCAAAAGATGGAATCTTAGTTTTTCTAGGGTCTTTTATCATAAATAAATAGCCATTCCCTTTAAAAGGGAGCGCTATCCCCAACTCATTTGTTCATAATGGCTTTCTATGCCAGCATCAATAAAGGATGAATAATGTCTTTATGTTCCTGTAAAGGAGGAGGCAAAATGTGGAGTACACACATAATAGGTGAAGCTTTAACTGTAACCTTACAAATGTCTGAAAGAGCCTCACAAATTAAGATCCAAAGTTTTTCTTCTGTCAAAAAACTTCTGTCAGAGTGAAAGGGGATTCTAATAAATCATGCTGTCTAGTAGTTATACTTGGGACCACTAAATAAAAAAACAAACAAAGAGCTGTCTTTTAGACTGTATGAGTTACCTTCAGATGAATACAATGCAACATAAAACTGTCTAAATACATTGTTAATTTCTTTGTCATCAGTACACCTTTTCCCCTCTCCATCTCTCACCGCTGAGATAAAATTTTTACCTTGTCTGTTCTTTATAAGTTTTGCCAACAAACGATTGGATTTATTTCCCATCTCAAATAAACGTTGTCTATCAAAAAGAATATCTCTCTCAGCCAACAAATCATTTAATAACGTCCTAATATGCTTTATTTGGGTAAGTACATCTTCCGATTTTGAGATATAATACTGCCTTTGTAAATGGGATATTTGCTTTTCTAATTGAAGTTGTTTAGCTATTTTATCCTTGTTCTTTTTACTTACGTAAGCAATTATCATACCTCTAATATAAGCTTTGTAGGCATCCCATAACATTCTGGGATCAGTCTCTTCTAAATCATTACAAAAGATTAATAATCTGTTTTCTCCTTTAGATATTCCACAAACTGATCAAATAATAAGGCTTTAATTTCCAGAAATAAGACGTTTTTGGACTATCTATTAGACGTATAGAGATAGTGACCAGGGCAACTTGTGGCGCGAAAGTAACTGAGGGTGATTTATCCAAGGTAGGATTAAGAAAACAATTAAAATCACCGCCCAAAATAACATTACAGTATATATATATATATATATATATATATATATATATATATATAATATTTGTACAAAAAAAATAATTAAGATTATTAGGGCCATATATACATCCAATAAGAATTTCCTTACCATAAAGTAAACCCTTTATAAAAATGATTTGACCTTCTTCATCAGAATCTTTTGTTATTAATGTAAACGGGAAATAACTGATTTCTATTTTATTATATTTTAAAATACAATTTATTCATGTGATGCAAAGCTGAATTTTCAGTAGCCATTAGGTTTTCAGAATTTTGAATTTTCAGTAGTCTAACCCTAACCTAACCCCAGTAATATGCTGATTTGCTGCTTAAGAAATATTTCTTAGTATTGTCAATGTTGCTGCTAATTATTTTTGTAGAAGCCGTGATGGATTTTTTTAGGATTCTTTGATAAATAGAAAGTACAAAAGAACAGCTTTTACAATGTTTTGCAGCATAATGTAACGATTCATCCACTGAAGGCGAGTTGAAGTGAGAACCCAAGTGCAGTTTATTTACAGTGTGATCCAAACATCCAAACAATAATCCGAGACTTGACTTGAACAGACTTGACAAGGCATGAACAGACTTGACATGAACAGACTAGACTCACCGACAGCAGGTTACAACATCAATACACGACAAGACACAATGGGAACATGATGGCTACTTATAGCAAAACAAGGAGGGTCACATGACATGAACAAACCAATGGGAAACAAGACACATGACTAAGACAACCAATCAGAACA